GTATCTAACCATCTAAATTACAGATGTTTATACAGTATCTAACCATCTAAATTACAGATGTTTATACAGTATCTAACCATCTACAATACAGAGGTTTATGCAGTATCTAATCATCTAAATTACAGATGTTTATGTAGTATCTAAACATCTAAATTACAGATGTTGATGTGGTATTTAACCATCTAAATTACAGATGTTGATGTGGTATTTAACCATCTAAGTTACAGATGTTTATACAGTATCTAACCATCTAAATTACAGATGTTTATTATGTAGTATCTACCCATCTAAATTACAGATGTTTATGTGGTATTTAACCATCTAAATTACAGATGTTTATACAGTATCTAACCATCTAAATTATTGATGTTTATGTAGTATCTAAACATCTTAATTACATCTGTGTATCTAGTATCTAATCATCTTAATTACAGATGTTTATGCAGTATCTAAACATCTAAATTACATATGTTTATGTGGTATTAAACAATCTAAATTACAGATGTTTAGGTAGTATTAAACAATCTAACTTACAAATGTTTATGTAGTATTTAAAAATCTAAATTATAGATGTTTATGTAGTATTAAACCATCTAATTTACAGATGATTATGTAGTATTTAAACATCTAAATTACAGATGTTTATGTAGTATTAAACCATCTAAAGTACAAATTTTTATGTAGTATTTAAACATCTAAATAACAGACGATTATTTAGAATCTAAACATCTAAATAACAGATGTTTATGTAGTATTTAACCATCTAAATCACAGGTGTTTATACAGTATTTAACCATCTGAATTACAGATGTTTATACAGTATCGCACCATCTAGATTACAGATGTTTATGTAGTAATTAACAATCTAAATTATAGATGTTTATACAGTATCTAACCATTTAAGTTACAGATGTTTATACAGTATCTAACCATCTAAATTATACATGTTTATACAGTATCTAACCATCTAAGTTACAGATGTTTATACAGTATCTAACCATCTAAATTTCAGATGTTTATGTAGTATCTAACCATCTAAATTACAGATGTCTATACAGTATCTAACCATCTACAATACAGCTGTTTATACAGTATCTAACCATCTAAATTACAGATGTTTATACAGTATCTAACCATCTACAATACAGCTGTTTATACAGTATCTAACCATCTAAATTTCAGATGTTTATGTAGTATCTAAACAATTTAAAACGGACATATAATTGTAGCATCTGAACTTTCAATAACATAGGGATGTAGCAGCAGTATTAAATATCTATATTATATATATATTTAGTTTCTATACGTCGTAAAACCAAAGGGTAAATATATAACTATATTCAGAAGATGTTTAGGACCATACCCACCATGTTAATGTTGTATGTGGTCATTGCTCATTGATGATTTCCTAGACTGATATGTGGTCACTTAATTGATATGATATATTTGATATTCCTCATTGCGTCTATACCATACAGGAGTGGGATTCGGACTCCTGTACACGCCCTCTGTCGTCGTTGTGGGTCACTATTTCATTAAACGCCGCGCACTGGCTACTGGGATTGCCGTATGTGGATCCGGGGTTGGAGGGTTCGTGTTTGCGCCTCTATCGGTTTTTCTCATAGATAGGTACGGCTGGAAAGGGGCATTATGGATTTTATCAGCTATTTCTCTAAATAGCGTGATATTTGGAGCTTTTTATCGCCCCTTGCTGCCATCAAAAGTTACACCAATCTCATCGCAAATAAAACCCGAAACAACAGAAACAGATTCAAACTCGAACACCAGGGAGGTCGACAAGAACTCAATATGGAAGACATTCTGCATTTTCTTCAGAACTACAATCAATCTGTCACTTTTGACTAGCCCGACCTTTGTTTTATATGGTTGCTCTGGATTTCTGTTGGCTATCGGTAAGTTAAAGCATATCTGATATAAATAATGAAACGACAATTTATACAACCTTCAGGTTATATGCAATGTAACGTTTTTATAAAAGGACAACTGTATCATGAAACGTGATCCGGGTGATGGCAATAACGTCATAATCATCCCCTTTTGATTGCATAAACGCCAGAAAGACGGGGAGCTCAGATATGTTATCCAAGTTATCGTTATTAAATCACACGGTGAAACCGAGGCCCCCGTCTATCTATGGTCTATATTTTAGCAACCTTTGAAAGTTTTTTTGTTGTTGTAGGATTTTACATTCCGTTCAATTTCCTGCCAGTTTTTGCCACTGATATTCACCTGTCAGCCGACGAAGGAGCAATTTTACTATCTGTCATCGGGATATTTAATACCCTATCAAGAGTTTTGGTTGGTCTGGTTTCCGACCAACCCTGGGCTGATTGTGTCCTCATCAACAGTACAGCACTATTGGTTGGAGGACTGGCTACTTGCTTTTTACCTCTGTACAACACCTACAGCGCCCTCCTCTCATACTCTGCTGTGTTTGGAACAGCTGTGGGTGGGTGCTATATTTAGTCAGTTCCAAAAGATATGTCACCACAGCTTCTTTCGATGTTCAATTTGACGTTCGTCTTTCACATGTTTGTTTGTTTGTGGTCATCGTCAGTTCACATGTGTTATTGTCGACCATTTACTGGCCATAAAGACCTCTCCTGTGCTGTTGGGCTCTCAAACATGTAATTCTAATAATTATTTCACTTTCCGAAGCATACGTGCATACTTGTCATGTGATTAAGGTGAAAACACTTACAAATGTTTGCGATTAAGAACTTCCTAGAAAAAACCCCATTACTTTGCGGTTATTACAGCATTAACATATATATTTTTTTTTATTGTATATTCGTTTTGTTTAGGATCGTTTGTTGCATTGAAGTCGATAATTCTGGTAGAATTGAAGGGTGTTGACTGGCTGTCTAAATCACTTGGACTGCTGAATGTTGTCATAAGTATACCAGTCTTTATTGGATCACCAATAGCAGGTATTTATACGATGTTGGTAGACGGACACTACTAATATTCCTCTTTTTTGCCTTCTTTCGGAATAATTAACTGTGCTTGTGGAGGGGCGGATTAAGACTTGCACTTACACCTTTATCTCAAATTACATTATTTTTTATTTGAATGTATTCCTTCTGATGGTTATATAATTCCCAACTGAATTTGTGCTTTGTTTCAAGTTCTGTGATTGGTTTATAGTTGCACATGTGATCAAAACCAACAGCTGTTAATATTATTATGATCAGCTGTTCTTTTCATGGGAGTTCGCTACATGTACAACCGCTCAAGTGGTGTGTAAGCAACTTTTCTCCGGTTCAGACTTACGTTAACATCTAAAAAAAACGAGATTCAATCCCGATTTGATTGGAATGAAATGAAAATGATAGGTAAACAACGTATAGCATATTTTGTTATATTTTACGATTTAATTATTCCTTATAATTACCAAGGTAGTCAAACCATAGTGTAGCGGCTAGTTTTATAAGATATTTTGTTGTCAACACTTCAAAAACTAGAGTCCATATGTGAGACACTGTCCTTGCATTTTTTACTTTATTTTCTGTCTTTTAGGAGCCTTGTCGGATCTCACTGAGAATTATAACAGTGCCTTTTATTTTGCTGGCGGAACAATAGGACTTGCAGGTTTGTTATGCTTTCCACTTCGTCGTATTGCGAGATGGGAACGGAACCGGAACACAGATTCAAATGACTCCAAAGCCGCCGATGTCACTGTTACTATGACAACTGGAAGGGTAGTAGAACATTGCAGTAGCAATACATTATGTTCGAATCACATGGAAGCTGAAAAACATATCAACCACGCTTATAATGAAGCATAGGTTGTCTGTTTGGCCCTAAGAAAAACAATCAACGAAAGATGGCACGATTTACTTTGAATCAAAGTGACGCAATTAACCCTTGATAAAGATTTTAAAATCCTATAGAAATGTGAGCCGTATGTTTCTTTTCAAAATCGAATATAATGCTTAATTATACTTCAGGCATAATATAATAAACAATTATAACACCCTATCCACTTTACAATACATGTACCATAATCGTGCTTGAATCAGAAGCATCCATTGATATTTAAACTTATAAACGAATATGTTTTCAAGAAACGCAAACACAGAATCGTAATAGTTGAAACATATTTGGTGTCGTTCTTGGTTATAACAAATATCATTCCGACGTTGAAGTTTGCTGTATAGTAAAAATGGTTGTGATAGTCCTGGCGTAGACTTTGTTCTTTGTTTATGTATGATGCTGAGTATGCTTAGTTGTAATTATCCGCGTGTATTACCTGAGTTGATATGACAAACCTTATTTCGGAGTATGCTGTAGCATATCGTAAATAGCGATTGATATATCGTATATAGCGATTCATGTATCGTATAAAGCGATGTAACACACCTTTGTATAGACTGGTTGTAACACCTGATTATGTGGGTTGATGTAACACACCTTTGTATAGACTGGTTGTAACACCTGATTATGTGGGTTGATGTAACACACCTTTGTATAGACTGGTTGTAACACCTGATTATGTGGGTTGATGTAACACACCTTTGTATAGACTGGTTGTAACACCTGATTATGTGGGTTGATGTAACACACCTTTGTATAGACTGGTTGTAACACCTGATTATGTGGGTTGATGTAACACACCTTTGTATAGACTGGTTGTAACACCTGATTATGTGGGTTGATGTAACACACCTTTGTATAGACTGGTTGTAACACCTGATTATGTGGGTTGATGTAACACACCTTTGTATAGACTGGTTGTAACACCTGATTATGTGGGTTGATGTAACACACCTTTGTCTGGGATAGTTGTTACACCTGATATTGAGGGTTGATGTAACACACATTTGCTTGCGCTGGTTGTAACACCTGTTGTTGTGGTTGATGCAACACTTCTTTGTCAGCGCTGTTTGTAACACCTGTTTTGTGGGTTACTAAACACTTCTTTTTTTGGACTGATTGTAACACCTGATGTTGTGGTTGATGCAACAACTCTTTGTCTGGGCTGGTTTTAACACCTAATATTTGGGGTTGATGCAACACTCCTTTGTCTTGGCTGGTTGTAAAATCAGATGTTGTGGGATTATGTAACACCTCTTTGTTTTGGCTGGTTGTTACACCTGATAATGTCGGTAGATGTGACACATCGTTGTTTGCCCTGGTTTTAACACCTTAAGTTATGTGTTGATGCAACACCTCTTTGTCCTGGCAGGTTGTAACACCTGATGCTGTTGGTTGATGCAACACACCTTTGTCTTGGCTGGTTGTAACACCTGATGAAGTTGGTTGCTGCAACACACATTTGTCTTGGCTGGTTGTAACACCTGGTGTTGGAGGTTGATGTGTCACATCGTTGTCACCGCTGGTTGTAGTACCTGATATTGGGGGTTGATGTAACACACTTTTATTTGGACTGGTTGTAACACCTGATGTTGTGGGTTGATGCAACACACTTATGTTCATGTTTGGATCGCCTTTAAGTTTAACCTTTATAATTGTATAATACAAATATTGACCATTTATCAGAATCAGGTCATATTTGACAAGGTTACTGCGCGAAAACCCGTTAACCAATCAGAGCACAGTATGCTAATCAATTATGTGCGGATTTTTCGCTTCGAATGAAGCATTAGTCTTTGTATAATATGCATGCATACAAATTTTCATCAAAATTACAAATCTGTAAGCAAGTTATCACTTCACACTAATACAACAGTATATGTAGTGGCTACATATAATATAACTAATAAAACCTCACTTTCCACTAATACAACAGTATATGTAGTGGCCACATGTATAATAACTAATAAAACGTCACTTCACACTAATACAACAGTATATGTAGTGGCTACATGTATAATAACTAATAAAACCTCACTTTACACTAATACAACAGTATACGTAGTGACTACATGTATAAAAACTAATAAAACGTCACATCACACTAATACAACAGTATATGTAGTGGCTACATATATTATAACTAATAACCCGTCACTTCACACTAATACAACAGCATATGTAGTGACTACATGTATAATAACTAATAAAACATCACTTCACACTAATACAACAGTATATGTAGTGACTACATATATAAAAACTAATAAAACATCACTTTACACTAATACAGCAGTATATGTTATGGTTACATGTATAATAACTAATAAAACGTCACTTCACACTAATACAAAAGTATATGTAGTGGCTACATGTATAATAACTAATGAAACCTCACTTTACACTAATACAACAGTATACGTAGTGACTACATGTATAAAAACTAATGATACGTCACTTCACACTAATACAACAGTATATGTAGTGGCTACATATATATAAACTAATAAAACGTCACTTCACACTAATACAACAGTATATGTAGTGGCTACATGTATTATAACTTATAAAACGTCACTTTACACTAATACAACAGCATATGTAGTGGTTACATGTATAATAACTAATAAAACGTCACTTCACACTAATACAACAGTATATGTAGTGACTACATATATAAAAACTAATAAAACATCACTTTACACTAATACAGCAGTATATGTTATGGTTACATGTATAATAACTAATAAAACGTCACTTCACACTAATACAACAGTATATGTATAAAAACTTATCAAACCTCACTTTACACTAATACAACAGTATATGTAGTGACTACATATATAAAAATTCATAAACCGTCACTCACACTAATACAACAGCATATGTAGTGACTACATATCTAAAAACTAATAAAACGTCACAACACACTAATACAACGTCACAGGTAGTGGATATAAATCGAAACAAAAACATACGTTTACTAAACAAATATAAAACGGTAGAGGTTATGCACTTATGAAACGATACATGTATTAGCTAAATACCTGTAAAACAGTACATGTTGTTGATAAACAACCCGATACAACTGATGTTTGAGTTATGAAGGCTGACTTATAGATACAGATTTTGACTTACCGTTGATCTCCAATGATCATGTCGCTGCTTTCATAGGATGAACACGCAATGCTGTGGAATACTAGCTTCATAATGTTAATATCTCAGACTTGAGTTCGCATACATCAAAATCCTCAAAGTTGATGGGGTGGCGTTGCAGCCAATCAGTGGCATGCTGTGTCACGGTGTTTCCTAATATACTTGATTGCAGAGGTGTTCAGTACACCTCACCGACTTATCGAACAAGCAATTAATGACGTAAAGAAAACATATATAATGAATTTCTCAGGAACTGAACAACGATTAGATGCAACTAAAACCCTCGAAAGAAATATGATGTTTAGATCAATACTGCCAACGTGAGAACCAATACGGATCATTCCATGTCGTCATTCGTAACACATCCTCTTGAATTTTAGTATTGACCCTACAGTGCTGTTGATGAACACGATCTCATTGTCTGTCTTATTTCCTCATATATCAGCTTCAAATTACTCAGGATACCTGAGAACGATGATCAAACATGATATCTGACAGCTCTTTACTTTCTCTTTATGGCTTTGAACAGGACAAACCTTTCCGGAAAACGTTCCGTTATTTAATGAACCAAACGATGCTTTCTTTGGTGTTTTTGTATGTATTGTTCCGTTATTTGTTTACTTGAACCATCTTATTTCCGTTATTAACGAACTGAAATAACAAGACAAGAGATGCCTTGCACTATTTCTTTCTAGGTCGAATGTAATGTATGGTGAGGTACACGGAAGCCCAACTAACCTGATTACCTTGTCAACACCAAAGGTCTTATAACCTTTTTTTTTTTTTTTTTATGAGATTAACGAAATTTAGATATAGTTATAAATCTTTCTAAAGGTGAATCGATAAACTTGGATAAAACATAATTAACTTTGTATAGCTCATACTGACCTGGATGTGTAATTAATAAATAAAAAATCAAGATTATCACATTGTGTGTATGACAGACCTGTAAATTTGTTCTTCTACAAAGGCAACACTCGACAAACCTGAGGAAAAAATGAGGTTTCTATCTAAATCACAAATCATGAAATCAAACAGCACCTTAGAAAGATCACCCCTGCAGGTCGGGGATCTAAAATAGAAGATACCTGCTTTTACCCACTACATGATCGTAAGAGGCGACTAATGTTCGGAACTCCTTGCAGAATCTAGTATTTAGAGACACCACTCAAACTGCCAAAATAAATCTGCTGCACTTATTACAATATTTGGAATCTTTATATTTCTCTCTTATTCTAACTACCTGTTTGATGCTTAGCGTCTCGCTTGGCAATACATCACTTTTGGCTTTCATGTTGAACGATCGCCCAGGTGAAGACAATGGGTTTATTCCCAGGCATGGACATACGTAAGTCATTTAAGATGGTAGTTGTTATTCCATGTTTAACGTTTGCTGTCCACTAGCCAGACCTTGATTATATAATGTACCACCTATGAAAAATGTATTTGATACAGTTTCTGTAATATCAATATACGATTATTTACACTCAATTTATCTTATAATAAGATACATTGTTCCCTGTTAATATAATTTTACGCTTTTACCCCTTTGAACCTTTTTTATTTCCAGATGTATTTCTCTCTTTTTGTGAATGTTTATTTCACAGTGTTTTTGCCCCTAAATGATTTACACTGTCGTTGGGACGTAAAGCAAAGCAATAAAACTTAGGAAACAATCTGTCAGAATTTATTTTAAAGAATGTTGTGGAGGTGGTCCATCATCTAAAGATTTTTGGCCAACAGTGTAAACCTTTTTTTATCAAACAAATGTAAATCTGACCAGAGGATTATTTTACAAGAAAATGACGTTATAGTATCAAACCAAAAAGATGTTTGTGATGTTTTTAATGATTTATTTACAAATGTTGCCAGTGATATTGGTACTGATCTGGAGGTGTCACTGATTTTAATACTCACCCAAGTATTTTAAATATAGAAACTTCAAATATAAATACTGGGAGA